GTGGGGGGGGGAGCCGGGGGCCCCCCCCCCCCACAAGGGGGGGGGCGGGCCCCGGGGGGGGGGGGGGGAGATCAGACTCACGGCTTTTCTTGGGCAGAGCCTGTTTTCCCAGGCTGCTGCCAGGCTGTCTGCAGAGCTTCCTGCAGAGCCATGGAGCTACACGGAGCCCAGTGCTTCCCTCCACAGCTGTGGGGGCAGCAAACTAAAACTAGTTTGCTGTGCCCTAAGTCATTTAAGGCGCATTACGCCACTGAATTTCCTACAGTGGCTGGAATTAATACACAATACACCACTGAGGCGTGCAAACAGTGACACCATTAAAGCAGTGCAGAAGCACTTAGCCCGCTTGAAAGGGCTCTCGTTTCGTCTACACATGGCCTCATACTGCAGACTGAACCTCAGGTGGCTAAAACTCAGTTTGAAAGACTATAGTTTTTCCTCAAGACATGATTCTACTGCCATGATGGAACACTTCATATCCATCAGCATGTCATTGGCCTGAGCCTAGAAACTGTTCTTCGCTTGAAGTCAGTAGGATAACTTGCATCACATTTAGCAAGTTGAAGGTGTAGTTCCAGGAGACTAATTCAAGGATGTATGAAATTATCTCTCTCCAAGAGCAAGGCCTTTTGAATATCCATACACATGATAGACCTCTGCTCTGACACATGCTAACTAGCATGCATCAGAGCCAACTCAATTAATTGCCACGTTTAGCAGGCTCCACATCAGGTGTATTCATTGTCCCCACATTTCAAAATGGCGACAGGGGCACTTTAACTAAAACTCATTGAACAAGCTTTAAAGTGTCCCCGCTGCCATTTTGAAGTGTAAGATGCTGAATACATATGACACTGCTCCACTTCATGGAGCAGCTGTCAGAGCCGCTCTAGTTAAAGCTCCCGCCCTCCCGCAGAGCATGTGTATAGATGCCTTTTTTGCCACTGCTGTCATTTACACAGCAGATAGAAGCAGTATTTCCTTGTACACCTGTGATACAGAGTTCCTGCTGAAAGGCTTTCCTTTAATTTCAGCAGGTAATGTATGTGAGATGTGTAGAAAGAATGTGTGGCTTCAGTTTGCATCGCAGCCATGCTCCATCTGCTGGCCAGTGCAGTGTTCTACTTCTGACTCCGTTTGGCCTGGTTGATGTTTTCTGGTTCTGCTTCATCTTCCCTTCTAATAGACCTTTCTTTTGGTGGGAATCCTGTGTCAGGATCTACTATTACTTTTTGCATACTACGCAGAATTTTTTGTTGTGGTATACTGTTTAGTTTTCATTGTAGAGTATGGCAATTTAGATGTGGTTACTTCTCATGGAATTAACAAACAATAGGAAGTAATCTCTTTTCTTTGTTTGATTTTTGGCTCATACTTTACAAGATTGTTTTGATGCAGAACAAAAGGAAGTTTTAGGGAAAAAACCTACTTTTTATTGCTTTTTTCTTCTATGTTTATGTTTCTAGCTGTAGAATTACATTAATTTTCTATGTTATGACTCATATACTGACCTAAAGTCCATGCATTTATATTCTAAGTATTTATAAAGAGAAATATCCCTTTTTGTAAAACAACTATGTAAATAGTCATAGACATACATTTAAATAACTTGTTATAGTACCAAGTATCATTTGCTAATTTAAAATTGTGCTATGCCATATTGTACAGGTAATTTTCTATATCCAGGACAAAAATATCGACCCTATTCTTGAGTAACTAACTTTCTTATAACGTTTGTCTGATAAATTCCTGCTGGGAAGTTGCATGTTTTAACTAGTTCTGTTGGTGACGTCGTGACTTTGTTAGTACAAAATATAATAATCTTTAACATTTTGCAGCTGCAGAGAGATACTAACAGTAAGATTTATTTGTTCCTCTTTTTCAGATGCTCTCTAAATCAATTGAACAGCTAAAGCAGCCTGGCAGTCAACTAGAAGAAGCTGAAGAGGAGCTTCATGGAGATCCTGTAATGCAGGAAGAAAGAGCTCCCTCTAGTGGTAACAGCATTAGGGATGACAGCAGCAGTATTTGTGTGGATGACAGAATAGGACAGCAGGTGGGGGCTGTGAAAGTGAAAGAAGAACCACTGGACAGTGATGACGATATTCAAACCCAGCAAATGGAATCTGGGGAGCAAGCTGCTTTTATGCAACAGGTAATAGGCAAAGATTTAGCTCCAGGATTTGTAATTAAGGTTATTATCTGAATGTCATATATACATTTTTAGGCCTTGATAAGAATTTTTCTTTCAGTTCACAGATCTAGCTAATCTCATTTTATCATGCGAAGAATCAAAGGTGGATGTGTTTTTATGCACACTTAAAACATAGTCAAACTCATACTAAGGCCACTGATTAAAAAAATACCTGTTGCACTCAATTATGCTATGTGAATCTTTGCATAATAAATAGGATTTGTATTAGCCCTGAACTCTATTACATCAGTTAGTTGTAGTGAAATGGAACTCGTTATATTAACTAGTTTGCTGAGATCAGTGATTGTTGGAATCAGTTTCCAGACCTGATCAATGAAACATTCACTCAGTCTTTCTGTTTCTGAATTCTTGTGACATGTCTCGACTTTTGCTTTCACAATTCTGTATATAATGTATCATACTGTAGTCTTGAACACTGTTAAGAGTAGGGTATTTTCCCCCATTAGACAGGTACTGGCTACAATACCAGTAGTCCTAGGTTTGTGTACAAAGTATGATTTAGAAAATAATAGAAATATAAGGTGGATGTAAAGATGCAAGGCAACGCAAGGAATTATTTAAAAATCAAATTGTTTTCCTTTTGCACTGCTAAGTTTTTTTTTTGTTTGTTTTATTTGATGATACTATCTACAAAGATGTCCTCAAATGAAGCAGATGGAAATATTGGCACAGAATGATAGCCAGCATTATGTTCCAAACAGATACTTGGGTATATCTGAAAATGCAGGGGAAAAAAACCCAGAATTATCATTATTATCTGATATCCAATCTCATGTTTATTTTTTTAAATAAAGATTAATCTTACAAAAATATATAATCTTTTATCGCTAGGGTTTTATTGTCATTCTGAATAATGACTAACTGTGTAAGATGCCAACCTGGCAAAAGGAAAATCAAATTACTACAGAGTATTTTATAAGTTGCTAAAAAAATGCATTTGTACAGTGCGTACCTTCAGAAAGACGGTGCCCTTTGTTGCTGTAAAATCAGAGTAGCTCTGAATGCAAAAGAAGGCACTGTTTATTTAAGTCAATACTTTGTCAGGTCCCTGCTGTTCTGCAGAAAAGTGATTCTGTGCGGGTGAAACAGGAAATGCCTTATGGAAACAGGAAGCCCAAGTGATTCATGTACAGAGGAATGTAAAGGGGGGGGAGTTTGGGGTGGATAGTGTTCTACTTTCTCTGTTTTTAAAGGGCAGTCTATGAATTGATTTATTGTCAAAGAAAATAACAAAGCGAGTAGGGAAATTGTTAAGGAAGCTTTCCAGTGAAACATTTCCTTCATATTCCCTTCTGATATGTTTACCTTGTTTTATAGGTTTACTTTTGTTAAACTAGTTAAAGATTCATTGTATTAAGACCCCTTTAATATGGATAATCCAAAACTGACTTGGAATCCTTGTCAGTTTTTTTTTCTATTAAAAATATTTATATTTCTAAAGCTAAGGTATTTTGAGGTACAGTATCCTGTTTCAAAAGAGATAGTCGTTTTGCCAAATGTAGAAGTTGTTCTAATATATATTATTAGCATGTCATGTTTACATTTTGCTTTAATATTATCAGTCTCTTATAAAATGTTGCAACTTCTAAAGATACATTATCCTTTTTCTTAAAACATCTCCAAATAATTCAAATAACTAAATAGCTGCTAAAACAAGAAAAGGCCTCCTGAAACCTTGCCATCAGCTTTGATAGCAGAAATGTGTTTTGCATAATATATTAAGAATAGAAATAAATCTTTCTTCCTCTTACACAGGAAGAGGAGATAAAGTAGCATGTACATTCAAAAATATGAAACAGGAAAGGTAAAAATGTGTATTTTTCCATCATGTTTGATTGCTTGAAAAGCCTAATTTTAGTGTCACCAAAAAGGGATAGTGCATCTTTTAAAATACATTTTATTTGGGGAAGAACTTGTAGTTGAGCAGACTTTTGTACAAGATCAAAGACACATGTAACCACACACCATAGGAGATATTTTTATAATTGGTCAGGGGAAAGTTACCCCAGTACAACCAGTGGACTTTAATTATATTCAAATTTGATAGCCTCTGAATTTAATCAAGAAACTACCTGGAACCAGTGAAAAGGAAAACTGGGTTTAAACCACCATATTTCTAATTGATAATTGTCTCTTAAATCTACTGTATTTATTATAATTTACACCCATGAAGGTGATCTCTTGTTTTCTGATGTAAATATATTCTGTTTGTATGTTCCCTTTTTTGCCTTCTGATATAAGTCTATTCCTTTCTCAAATAAAGTTTTTTTTTAAAAGATCCCCTTTCAGATATTTGACTTTGTGTAGAGTTAATAATTTAGTTGGTGCTTTCTGTTTTGTATAACCAAATGTGCTTGCTACGCATTGTTGAAATAATTAAAGCTTTTAGGGGCAAGGTTTTTTATTGCACTATTTTTACAATGATTACACAAAGTCTATTTTTGGTCTCTTGTTTGATCCTATTTCAGCCATTGAAAACTGTAAAACAAATGGAAATAATAACTATGCATGCTCATTTTCCCATCATGGCATTTTGTCTTGAATGCATGATCATAAATGATACCATACTGGACAGAAAGTACAGGTAAATCCCAATTTTCTAACTCCTAATTATCCCAAATTTGGCCAGGTTGAAAAAAATTTCCTTCTCGTTTCCAATATTTATGATTTCATGAAAGTTTCACAAGGCTCTTGAGACTTTTGTAAAACTGGGGTTAACCTATAAATACATTCTGGGAACTTTACAGACTTGAAGCCTGTTAGAGGTTTGCATCTCACCTACCCTTCACCCCACCCCCAAACTCCGAGTTCAGAAAAGCACTTAAGTATTTGCTTAAACATATGCTTAAATGCTTAATGAACAGCAATGCTTTCCTGAACTTTAGTTCAGATTTTCATTTCAGTGTTTGTAATTTACTAGCACAGGTAGAAGTGAAGGAAAAGTTGAAAACAATTCTTAGCTGCATTATCTGTCAGCTCTAACTCTTCCTTCAAATTAAATGTTAGCTGTTTCACTTCCACTACTGCTTACACTAAAATGGATAGGTATGAGCTTTCATAAACACAGCATAATTAGTTTAAATTTTCTAACCATTTATTTGACTGATATGGATGATATGCTAAAAATAACCACTAGCTAAAAACAGAGCTAAAAGCCTTACCTTGCAATAGTTACGAGTATAACTTGCATTATCAATACTGTTGTAACTTACTGCCATATAGAACAGCATCTACTTATAATCTGGAGTCTGTAAGTAAGTAGTTGATATATACTTTGTAAAAATCTGAAGCTCTTTGTTTATACGATCACATAAGTGGTCAAATAATAGCTTTAAGTATTTTTAAGAGTTTGATTTTTCCCTTTTTGAAGGTTTAGTTAAAAGAGTTTTTATTTACCAGGTATCCAGACTAGATGTAGAGAAACAAAAAAATGTATTTAATTAAAAATACATCTTATTTTTTTCCTGAAGATAATGAGTAATAAGGCCTTCTTGGTAACGAGGCCTGTTTTGCCCTGCTGTCAAAAAAAAGTCTGCATAGGGATTAATTGGGGAGAAATCCCTTCTAAATTAGAAAAAAAATGCTTGATAAAACTCATGTACTCTGAGGAAAAGTACACTAAGAAACAAGTGGTGCTAAAATATAGTTTTTATAAGTTTAGTATTTGTTCATCTTTTGGCATAAAAATATATATTAAAGTCTGAATCTCAGTGGCCAGGAAGCAGTGCTGACACTCATCTTTATCATTCAATAAGTCATTCACGCACCTTCATTATTCACCTCCTCCTCATCACATCCCCTAAGTTTTACTCCATGGCAATTAATCCAGGCATACCCTGTTTTTATCTTCACTGGCTTTCTGAGGTAAATATTTTGTAAGAGTTATTTCCAAACGCTGAGCCAAAAATATAAATATTTTTCTTTCTTCGCAAAATTTGCAGCCAAAATTAAATCAGCAAAATTAATTTAGTAAATGTTTTCTCTCCTCATACCTGCCTGTCCCACTTAGAGCCACTCAAGGGGCCACTTGTTTGCTTTCCATTTATTTGTTTAGTTTCTGACTTTCTTATACAATTCCCATCATCTGGGTGGCAGTGCTGTTTAACTACCTCATTTTTCTTGAAGGATCCTCCTGTAGATAACTATGCACAAAATTCTTCCTCAGGCAGATCATCATCATAGGTAAAATTATCTTCTGAATTAATGTCCAGTCTCATTGACCATCAGTGTATTTGATGAGTCTGCCATGGTATCTTTCATCTTTGAACCTTCTCTTAGCCTGACTTGATTTTTCTGTTGCCTTTTATTTAAAGTCTCTCAAACCTAAGTGCCTGGCCAAGATACTTGCCTGTTTTTTTCCAGGATTTCTTGAGTGTCCCTGTCTGTGCTGCTCTATCACAATAAGTGTAGACACACATTTATTTTTAGGCTAGAGACAGATTTTCAAGAGGCCTGAGCTTAAGTTGATTCAATCTCTGTGGGTTAGTCTAACCTGGCTAGGCTGAATCAGATTGTAACTGCACAGACATCCCAGAAATGCAGGCACAACTCTGCAGTGGCTCAGGCTAGAAGCTGGGGGGAGGGGGGAGAAAGCAGGGGAGAAGCCCTCCCTTGCCTTCCACAGAGCTGAGCTGAGCTGAGCAGAGCAGAGCAGAGGGGGACATGGCCAGGCCCCAGCAGGACACTCTTATTAGGGAGGTGGCCCCCCACCTTCTGACAAGCCCAGCAGGGAATTGATAACACAGTGTTTATCCCCCCTAACTCAGTGTTTATCAGCCCATTAAGAAAACAACAGAGGGACATTACCAGTTGATTCTGCCTTTGTCCTATTTGCTACAGTATGGACTGTAGCCAGCATGTGGTCTGCTAGCCAGTGCTGAGAGGTGTCTGTGTAAGGCAGAGGGGATGGGGAATTGCTGCTTAGTAGGGAGTGTGGGGGG